CCTGCTAGGTAGAGGAGAGTCCTCTTCAACAGTGGTATCAGAGCTGGTCGGAGGAGTCTAGGCGCGCGACAAGGAGCAAGCATGCCGACTTCAAGCGATGCCTCCCGCACTTCGTTGCATGGTGTCGTCGCGAATTCGGCAAACCCTGGACAACCGCGACGATGTTCGACACGTCGGCGGTACCGATTTTCACGGGACAAAACTACTCCGCGTTGACATTTAAGTTCCAAGTGCTCATGATGGAGCGGGGACTTTGGGGTTTCTTCGATGGAACGGAAAAGAAGACGGACAACGAGAGCGTCATCGCGGCATGGAAGAAGAAGGACCAAAAGGCGTTTGCTACATTGATTTCGCGCATCGGCATCAATCTCGTGAGCTCGGTGCGCATGTGCAGTAAGCTCGAAGCATCGGCGTATGAAGCGTGGAAGCGGCTCGAGACCATCCACGTGAACAAGACTCTCCATGGCAAGATCCTAGCCCGGAATGCGTTCTTCACGGTGAAGTGGCGCGAGGGCGAATCGATGCACGAGTATGCGACTCGTGTGGAGGAACTCGGAGAAATATTCATGGACCTCGGTGGAACGGTCACGGGGGAGGATTGGATTTTGACCTTGCTTTGCAGCCTTCCGGAAGAGTGGTCGACGTTGATTACGACACTCGATAGCGTGCAAGACACTTGGACGAAGGAAATCGTGGTCGGTCGGCTTCTCCATAAGTGGCGTCGTCGATAATTCGCTAATGAGAGCGTGGGGACCGCCATGTACTCCGAAGGGAGTTCCGATAAGAAGTCCAAGTGGAGCAACGGAGCGACGAAGAAATCATCCGGTGGAAGGGACCGCGGCAAGGGAAACGCATCGAACGGCGCGAGCACGTGCCACTATTGCGGCAAACCGGGACACTTTCGGCGAGAGTGTCGGAAGCGGCCGAGCGATTGGACTCCATCGATGGCGGGACCAAGAGGGCAACACGCACACGGCATCCGGCGAGGCGGATGATTCAAAGGAGTCTCTCGTGTTATTGGCCGGCAATGGGAACAACACTCCAAGCGATGCGTGGTTCCTTGACACCGGCGCAACACAACACATGACGCACTCGGCGTCGGTCCTCAACAAAATTGGTGCTCCGAGAGACGTCACGAGCATCGTGTTAGGAAACGACAAGTCGCTACAGGTGGTTGGAGTTGGGAGTACGCGTCTCATCGTCGATGGCGGACCGGTGGATATCACGAACGTGCTTCACGTCCCGGGTTGAAGGTGTCCTCTCCGTTTCGCAACTTGCGAAGAAGGGAGTGACCTTCACCATGGACGATGCGAAGATCAACCTCTTTTGGAAGGGGGAGCAATTCACACAAGGCGTTCTCAACGGAGAACTCTACCAACTCAAGACGCACCCGAAAGCGGCTTCATCCAACGTGGCGCAAGGCTTCAAGGTGACTCTCAAGGCGTGGCATAATCGGCTTGCGCACGCCAACTACGAGTCGGTCAAGGAGTTGGCCAACAAAGGCCTTGCGAAGGGATTCGACGTGATCGCCAGCGACGATGAGAAGGGCGTGTGCGTGGCGTGTGTCGAAGGAAAAATGGCTCGCAAACCATTTGGTAGCCGTACCTCACCCCTCGCTAAGGACCCACTTGCGCTTGTTCACATGGACTTGTGTGGACCGATGCGGTGTGCATCAAAGGGAGGGGCGCGGTTCCTCTTAGTGATGCTCGACGACGCGACGCGGATGTGATGGACCCGGCTCTTGAAGGCTAAGGGAGATACGGCCAAGGCGATTCAAGAGTGGGCGCTCGAAGTTTGCGACGACGACGAGAAGCGGATCAAGGCTATTCGCACCGACAGTGGCGGCGAATTTATGAACAACGAGCTTGAAAAATGGATGAAGAGCAAGGGCATTAAATACGACATCACGACACCCTACACACCCCAACAAAATGGAGCGGCAGAGCGGCTTAATCGCACATTGGTGGAGGCCGTCCGTTCACTTCTTCAACACTCCAAGCTTGGGAACAAGTGGTGGGGAGAGGCAAGTACACTAGCGGCATGGATTCGTAGTCGTGTGTCGACAAAGGTGCTACCGGGAATGACTCCGTTCGAAGCATGGACCGAAACAAAGCCGAACCTATCCCTCCTACGCACCTTGAAATGCCTTTCCTACTACCATGTACCGGATCCCCTTTGCCACAAGTTGCAACCGAAGGCTCGTGCGGCGATCTTCTTGGGAATTGCGCCAAACGAGCGGGCATGGCGAGTGTGGGACTTGGGTGAAAAGCGCGTCGACACCTCTCAGGATGTGGTCTTTGATGAAGACATGTTCCCGTCGACGGAGAAACCTACTCAATAGCTCACCTTCATCCTTCCTTCACAATAGGAGGTTGAAGAGAGTGAAGTTCCACCACAAGTGGAAAGGGAAGCCGAAAATGGAGGGGGGGGAAACAACGAGGAGAGCGTTGATGATGTCGTGGAGGTGCCACCAACTACGGCGACAACTTCCTCCACATCTTCCTCCCTACCATTGGCATTGACCCGCGAGCGTCGTACACCTCGCCCCAACACGATGTACACCGACTATGCTACGGTAGCCGTTGGGGAGTTGGATAAGGAGGGCGCGATATTTCGCTTCGCGACCATTGGTGATGATGAACACATGGATTCTCTCACGGAACCACTCCCTAAAGATTCATCCCATGCATGCTATGAGCATGTTGGATTGCACACCAAGTGGGTTGGGTGCAAGGGGGAGTGTTGGAAATCACGTGTGTTAGAAGGAAACTGCGGTGGGGCGATTGATATGCCCCCAACCCACCAAGTGTGTTTCTTCTAGGTGCTCGAGATTGAGCGAGCTAGAAGTTTCGTGAAGGTGCAGGTTGACTTCAGAGGACTTGCACTTCGGTACCACATGGCAGCTCAGACTGAATAAGAATTCAGTTCAGTGAAATTCGAGTGTCGAATTTCACCCCTTCGAAGAATTACTCGAACATTCGAGAGTGTAGCGGTTCGTGTTACATGAGCGGTTCGTGTTATATCTTGCTCAATAAGTAGAGGAGACTCTTCCTTAACAACCACGTCACTGTCCGTCGGGCGAGCATTGCAAAATGGAACCTAACGGTTAAACGGGTGCATGAGATTAACGGTATTTCAGCTGATGAACGCTCTATACATCAAGCATACGCTTCGTCTTTACACCCTGCTTATCATACTGACTCACCTTTCCATTCACCTACGCGCAGATGCTTCTCTGATAATCACAAACCGTCTAAAAGCCATACTGAAGGACCCGGCGATGGTGCTGGTATCGACTGGAGGATCCCGCGAAGACGCGATCTTACGACCCGTGGATGCTGTGGGGTCTCCAGGCAGTGGTTTAATAAATACATCCAACACAGTCAAGATGAGCGCGCTCAATGTCAACGGCTTGGGCAGCGCGGGGAAAAGGAACAAGTGTTAGAGATGGTTAAGGAAGGCATCGGATGTTGTGGTGCTGTCAGACACAAGGATAGGGGAGGATCACAATTTTTCGACACAACTGAGGCCTACGGCCATGGCTGCAGTATCACCCACATAGAAAGCAGGAGGAGTGGTGGTGCTGATTTTCATATCGGAGATTCAACTGATAGAGGTCGTTAAATACAGCTCAGGGAGGTTGCTTGCTGTCAGGTTGAGGTGGAAGGAGCTGGAGTGGCACTTGATAGCGGAGTATTTTCCGGCGCAGGCTGGTACGCGGGGTGTCTTCATCAGGGACTGTTTCCTCCCCTTCATGGATCGGCTTCCTGCAGCAGCACACACGGCAGTGATGGGAGATTTTAACTTGGTGGAGGACCCGGAGCTGGATAAAAGTTCAAGGCTTGGGACCTCTGCTGAAAATCAGAGACTGATAAATGGCTGCGCAAGCCTTGCCATGCAGGATGCTTTTCGCACTCTACACCCGGTCAAAAAGGAGTATACCTTTTACTCGCGTTCGGCGAAAGTGAGCTCGAGGATCGACCGGGCTCTGGTGTCGTCTTCCATGCTCTATGTTGTTGGAGGTGCCTTCCACACATATGTTCCAAGAGGGATCACGGATCACTGGTTTGCCGTTTCGGTGAAGCTGGCGTCGTTCCCGGATAGAGTGAAGGGTCCCGGTTTATGGACATTGTCAGCGAAGCTCGCGGGTAGCCAAGGTGTGAGGAAGATCACGCAGGCGTTCATACAGCAGCAGGAGGGGAAAGCCGGTAAGGAGTTTGTAACGGCGCTGAAAAAACTACAGTCGGGAATGAAGGAGTACGCAAAAGGGGAAAGGAAAGAGTGGCCCGCACAGTTGAACACTTGGAAGAAAAGGCAGCGGCGCTGAAACAAGCTTACATGAGTGATGTGGGCGATGCAAGCCTACAGGAGCAGCTGGCAAAGTGTGAAGCACACCTGAAATCCTACTGGGATGGGAAGCAAGACTGGCTGCAAAATCTAGCTGGCATACAAGGGGACCTGGAAGGAGAGATGGCATCAAAACTCCTCTCAGAAAAGGTTGCGTCAAGGAAGGCGAGAACAAAGATCCCGGCCCTGTCTGTGGGTGAAAGGGACCGCGAAATCCTACAGGCGAAATGGACAGAGGCAGAAGTCAGGAAGGCGATTGCTGAGCTGCCAAGGGGGAAAACACCTGGGCGTGATGGGCTTCCGATGGAGCTGTTTGAGAAGAACTGGGACCTGCTCGGGCCAGGGTTGATGGAGTTTGTCCACTACTTTGAGAGGTCGGCGCTGCTCCCGGAGAGTCTAACAACGACTGTCATGATTCTGCTACATAAGAAGAAAGATAAGGAGAGTTTGGGAAACTACAGGCCTATCACCCTGCTGAATACGGTGTACAAGATTGTCGCGAAGGTGCTGTCCAATAGAATGAAAGGAGTGCTGCCGAAAGTTATCTAATAGGATCAGCATGGGTTCGTACCGAGACGAAAGTTGTCTGATGCAGTGGCTGCAGTAGCGGACACGTGATTGATGCATCGGCGACGGGGAAGAAAGATTGGTACCTTCTGCTCGTAGATTTCCAGAAGTTGTACGTTTGGTATCGAGGCGATACCTCTTCAGCACCTTGAGGGAGATGGGTTTCCCGGAAGTCTTCGTAAGATGGGCTGAGGGACTCCACTAGGAAGCCTGGACAATACTCCTGATCAACGGCTGGCTTGGAGAGCGGTTGGGGGTGGAGGTGGGAGTGAGGCAGGGTTGCCCACTTGCGCCGTACCTGTTCATCCGCGCAGTGTAACCTTTGTGTCAGGAAATACAGAAGAGGAAGCTGGGTATCAGGAAGCAAGGGAAAGGAGATCTTCCCTACTTAGGATATGCAGATGATACTACCTTGGCGCTGAATAGGTTCGCGCAGGTGTCGAAGGCGGAGGAAGTGCTGAGGGATTTTGGGGAGGTGTCAGACCTGCACATCAACCAGGAGAAAATTGTATTAATGCCGCTGGGGAGAACAGAAGGTGGAGACTCACAAGGGTTGACACCTTTCAAAGTGGCTGAACCAGGCCAGCCAGAGCGGCTGCTGGGCATACGGATTACCCCGAATGGCTAGGCTGGGCCGGCCTGGGACAAAGCCTTTGAGAGGGTGAGTGGCTCGCTCACACGGTGGGCTACGCAACACATAACGACGACAGCTAGAGTTGCGGTGATAAATTCGTATGTGGTGCTGGTGCTGCTGTTCCAAGCACAAGTGTACCCGCCGCCAATCGACTTCTGGACGAGGGAAACCAGATATCGGTTTCCAACGGTTCAGATCGACCAAGGGTGGCAGGGCATTTTCAATGGTCCAGAATTACAACGCGGTGGATGCGTATCACGTATCACACAATCCACTCAATGTTCACCTGGATATTGTCCTAGTCACTTGAGTTTCCGCCGACCCATATCAGTGCACCGGATCTATCATATAGCTAGTTATCACAGACATCTTCTCCCGTGAGTATGAGTTTCGGCACAATACACTACACCATATGATGGCAGCAAACTCGGCACTGAAACTCGGGTTGGAGCACATAATCCTGACCGGAATACTGCTGCTTGTGGTTAGCAATAGCCGATATTTCAGTCCATTTGTGATTCGTAAAGGCGTGGCTTTTTGCGAGATAGAGGACTGTATATGCGCACGACATTAGGCTGAAATGGTGTTTTCAACTTGCTTAGCACTGGTAAAAGTAATCGTCCGTAGAATTGCCCACTTTGTTCGTGTCAGGGTGGACGCTCGACAACCTGTGGTTTAGGGCCTGGCGTGTTGACGTGATGCCTTTTGATTGGCTGCCAGGAGTGCGCGTGGCCTGACTGATAGAATCAAACGGCCAGGATTCACTGTATAACCCTAGATGCAATCTAGACAGTAGATTTCCAACACACCTCCAACAGTAGCTCCAACATCTGTCGGAAAGCAAAGCCCTCGCTATTGTTACATTCAAGGATAATATTAGCAGTTACATTAAATTGTTCGAGACTCTGTAAACAGAAACATGCAATATACAGTGCTGTATGAATGATATTTCGAAACCGTTACTACACGATGTTCATCAAATTTCAAATTTATTTCAACTACTGCTACAAATCCGTCAGTACTGTTACCACAAATTTCATACGGTTTAATATTTCCAATAGGATTCTTACAAACATTGAGACAAATCATTCACATCCACACATGCACATGCACTTTTAACGATTTGATCGGTAAAGCAACATACACATGCACGGTCACCACCTATAAGTACAACGCAATGCATCCACAAGCCATCGTGACCGGGACAAAACATCGACCAATAAGGTCATACAAGCGTGGAGCTCCGTAAGTGGCTGGTACTTCCAAACCTCAACCAGACGTACAACTCACCACCCGTGCCTCGTAGACAGGTGCGAGTTCTGCCAAACCCTGAGCTCGCGCCAAGCAACACGCTAACAACACGCCTCAAAAGCAGCAAAGTCGCAAACTATTGGCCAACACTAAATGGTTTGTGGGTCGAAACTATTGGTTTTGCGCAACAACTCACTTGCTCGTTACAAAAACTAGACAAGCCAGTTTTGCAATGCTTCACCAAATTTCGCTCTCCCATCTTGATTTTATGATGGTGACAGCAGAGAGGTGCCGTACGCAGTTCAATTGCCTGAAACATTCGCACTTCCCAACACCACCAGCAGCTGCTACAGTAGCAGCCCCCTTTGGTCCTCCTCCCTTTGCATTCCATGCCCCTCCTTCTCCTCCCACTGCCAAATCTCCTGACTACCTCTGTCTGCAAATTGCCCAGACTCCTCTCCCTGCCCTTCCCTTGCATATCTTGCTGTCATTTTCCTTGCATTTCCCCTCCATGGGCTCCTCATGGCAGCCGCCCCCTCCCACGCCAGGTATACTGTGCACTAGTAGGCCTGGCGGGGGGGGGGGGCTGCTGCAGCAAGTCACACAGGAGGGTGAATGCGCCAGTGTGAAGAAAACTGAGTAGGGGAGGGAGGTTGTGAAGAGAATTGTGTATGGTGGTGGGTAAGGAAGGGGGGGGAAGACGGGTTGGGGGAGAGGGCAAAGGGGGAACTCGTGGTGCAAGGAAGTGAAAGGCATGTGGGAGGGGGGAGCATGTTAACAGTCAACTTGGCATTATGGCATGCTGTGGAGAGAGGTGATGCTGGTGGCATGGCAAGCAATTGTACGGTTGGAGCGGCAATGACCAGCACTGCAGGGTAAAAAAAGTATGGAGGTTGGTGGGAATGTTTTTTCCCGCACAATGAGATGAGATGCCATGTTTTGAGATTCATGTAAGAAAGTGTACTATTGGCACATCTGTGCCCTGCACATGTCATTCCACACCTCATTTCATACTTCATACCACACATCCCACTGCACTGTCGTTTCTGAATTATTTCCGTTTTCCTTAATGTCCTACCCTCTCACGCCTGCCCTACGCCCTTGCATGCCCTTCACCCATGCCTGCCCTTCACCCCTGCCCGCCCTTCACTCATGCCTGCCCTTCACCCATGCCTGCCTTTCACCCATGCCTGCCCTTCATCCATGCCTGCCCTTCACCCATGCCTGTCCAGCACCCATCCCTTCACTTATGCCTGCCCTTCACCCATGCCTGCCCTTCATCCACGCATGCACTTCACCCACACATGCCCGTTACTAATGGATGCCCTTCACCCACACATGCCCTTCACTCATGGATGCCCTTCACCCACACATGCCCTTCACCCATGGATGCCCTTCACCCACACATGCCCTTCACCCACACATGCCCTTCACCCACACATGCCCTTCACTCATGGATGCCCTTCCCTTCACCCACACATGCCCTTCACCCACACATGCCCTTCACCCATGGATGCCCTTCACCCATACATGCCCTTCACCCATGGATGCCCTTCACCCACACATACCCTTCACTCATGGGTGCCCTTCACCCACGCATGCCCTTCACCCATACATGCCCTTCACCCATAGATGCCCTCCATCAGTTCCAGCATAATCCTCTCGAGCTCAGAGGGACACGATGAGGGTGCCACACAACAGCAGCAGCTGATTCAGCAGCAGCAACAAGCAGGGCAGAGGGCGAATAAAGTGGGTAGAGTGGTGCAAGTACAGACAGAAGATGCGGCTGCAGTAGCCTTCGTCAGATCCAGCTATACCAAGCCATGACTGCATTGCAATGAGCGCTGGTGACACACAACGACCTCAGAGGAGAGGAGGAGAGGCAGGCGACCTGCTGAGAGGAGCGCCACGCTGAGATGATATCCCCGCACATGCGAGTCTTCGTTGCCAGCATGCCACTCAAATTCAGATCTTCCAGGGCATAATTTTAGAAAGGGCCAACAGTAAAACCGGAAGCAAGGCTTTGCTCTTTGATACAATCAAACATATGGTATTTCATAACAAATTCTTGCGGTGTCTGTATAACATTGAGATTGGTATCATTGGTTGGAACACTCTGAACTTGATAGCAGGATTCATATGCAGCATATCAAAGGTGAGGCAGACAACATCACACATGATACGGTACAAATGTCTGAGGTTGCATGAACAGTTGTATAAACGTTCCAGCATAAATGTAACGCACAAACCCATAGCCAATCTTCAGTTTACTTGCCAGAACAAGTAAAGGCAAAGACTTGCCCACAACAATTCTCCATGTAGCAAGCACCTCTCCTTTTTCCACACTCCTTGTCTGTAAGATTTTCCTTGCCTCTTGTTCAAACTGGCCTGCATCTGCAATATCCGAGTTCCACACAACCCAATCCATGCCTCTCTGCAGCATGCAAATCGAGCCGTGCACAAGCACCATATCTCCCTCTCCGAAGCATGCTCCTCTCATTTTTCACACCCCTTGCCTCCACGCCTCACCTCAGACTCTCCTAAGCAATCACACTCAAATCTTCCCTCACCTCACCCCCCTTGCCATCATCAGTCCCTGCTACCCTACATGCACATCCGCCAGCGTACACCATCTTTCTCAACACGACCCCCTTCTGGCGTCCCGAGCCATGTCAGCTTGGTCAGAGCAGTCAGCTTCCGCAGCCCAGCACTTGAGACCGCCGTGCCACCCAGAGCAAGGGTCTCGAGACCTATCAGCTTCCCCACATGCACCATGCCCGCATTGGTCACGCCCTTGCATTCAGAAAGCCACAACAGCTTGAGAGAGGACAGAGCTGTCAAGTGTGCCAGACCAGCATCGGTCACCTTGGTCTTCCAGAGGTAGAGCTCCTTGAGACTGGTCAAGGCCCCAATGCCTTCCAAGGCACTGTCTGACACGTCTGTATCGTTGAGGTTTAGCATTTCCAGCCGTGGCAGCTTGTAGAGGTGCTTGATGCCCTCTGCAGTGAAGCCCGAGCTACGCTGCAAGCTAATGCCCGTTGGATTGACAATTGTGGACAGATGGCCGAGCACGGCATCCGAGACACTGTTGAGATTCTTCAGGTTGAAGTGGAACTTGAATGCCTGATGACAGAGGGTGAAGACGGTGAAAGCGGGCGAAGAGGGTGAAAGCGGGTGAAGAGGGAAGTGTGGCAAGGGAAGGGTGATAAAAGTGACGAGAACGAACTAGCTGTTGCTTGAGAATTCTAAAAAAAAAACAGATTGCGGACGCATACGGCATCCAAGACCATTTGAGATTGCTCAGGATAAAGTGGAGCTTAAATTCTTGGTGAAAGCGAGTGAAGAGGGAAACGAGGCAAGGAAAGAGATGATCACCGTGACAAGAAAGAACGAGCAAGCGATGCAAGCCCTGTGCAAGCGATGCATGCCCTGTGCAAGCGATGCATGCCCTGCGCAAGCGATGCATGCCCTGTGAAACAGTTCCCTCAACACTCACCTCCCATGCCATCTTCTTTTCAGCTTCACTCTGGCTGATTCCAGCTCCCTTCTGCTCAGCCAACTCCCTCTTGACTGCTGCCAGTTCCCTCTCCCTCTCCTCCACATGCGCTCTCATCTCCGCCACTCGTCCCCTCTCAGCCTCCTCCAACTGCAATGGAGTTGACTGCTTGTGCGCAGCCACCTCCCCCTTTACTTCACCCAACCCCCCCTTCACCTCACTCACCTCCCCCTTCAGTGCAGTCAATTCGACCTTCACCTCACTCACCCCCCCCTTCACCTCACTCACCTCCCCCTTCACCTCACCCACCTCCCCCTTCACAGCAGCCAGTGCTGCAACAAGCTCCTCCCTCATCTCTCGCATATCCGAGTCTCTCCTCTCAGCCACATCCCGCTGCTCAACCATCGCACCCTTGAGATCAGCCAACTCTCTCTCCCTCTCCTTCATCACAGCAGCGATTACCTCATTCCTCTTCGCAACAACAGTCAGCACGTGCCGTATCTCACCCACCTCCCCCTTCACCTCACTCACCTCCCCCTTTACCTCACTCACCTCCCCCTTCACCTCACTCACCTCCCCCTTCACCTCACCCACCTCCCCCTTCACCTCACTCACCTCCCCCTTCACTTCACTCACCTCCCCCTTCACCTCACCCACCTCCCCCTTAACTGCAGCCAGTTCTGCAACAAGCTTCTCCCTCATCTCTCTCTTTCTCTCGGCCACATCCCGTTGCTCAACCATAGCACCCTTGTGCTCAGCCAACTCCCTCCTCGCTTCTGCCAACTCTCTCTCCCTCTCCTCCATCGCAACAGAAGCTGCCTTGTTCCGCTCCTCCGCAGCAGTCAACAGGTGCCGCAACTCATTCACCTCCTCCTTGTGTGCAGCCAGCTCCCCTCTCACTGCTGCCAGCACCGCCTCTTTCACCACGTCAATCAGTGGCCCCATCGCTCTCTCAGCAGCCATTGCAACCACTGGAATCCTGAAACAGCGCTTCTTCAATTACTAATCCCGGCGTTCAGCTGCCTCCCCCTCACTGCAAAGTGACGAACGTAGACAACCTGGGTGGGGTAGGATCAGTTGCAAACGGGTTGAATCTGGTACGGAGTGAACGCACAATAAGATCCAGTCGCATCGGCTAAAGGGACGAGGCCCAACGTGTAAGAGTAGAGGCGAAATCACACACTAGAGGGAGCATTGATGAAGAAGTAAGAGAAGATTCTTGTACTCACACACATGCATTCGACACGTAGTTGTACCTCAGAGGAATTAAGGAAGGGCCGCAGAAGGAGCAACAAGTTGTCAAGAAGGGCAAGAAATGCGGGCGGGTACTGCGAAACAGGGACATTGCCAATGGTTGCAGCAAGGCGGAAACGAACGGACAGGGTGGGGTGAAGGGCAGAGGCGGCAGAGTAATGATGAGAAAAGGTTCACTCGTGGGCCATGAGGACAAGAATAGTACGAGGAGAATGCAGAGGCATTAAAACAGAAGCACAACAAATGCCGTACATAAAAACATGGTAAGAGAAAGAACGTTTATGAAAAGGCTATTGATGGGCAGGATAAGGAGAAGAGAGCGATATCCTGGTTGAATCTCAATCAAAGCATAATACATGTGAAAAAAAATATCCAGAAAGCTGTCGCACCTCATCTTGGGGACATATGGGTGCCCATAGACTAGTTGCAAACCCACACAGGCTCTTACAGTCGCTGGGCGATGGAAGGCAATGCCTCAGGCCACGTGCAACACCTCCAGGCTGCCGCTGCTCAATGCCCGGAAAGGGCCCACACAGTGCAAAACAATCCATGGAAGTAATGAAGAAGAAGAAATGAAAAAAAACGACACCACAAACAGAAACCAGATCCGTTCACCACCAAGCTTAGGAACCACTAGCACAAGGTTCAAGCTTTCGCGTTGCCACTTGCTCTGCTCTGAAGTATCGCTAACTCAAGCGGTAACACCTGCCTCTGTCCCCCCTTTTGTCCGGGCCGTCATTCTCCATCCGTCACTCACCCCTAAACCCTCGGCATCTCGTTGTCTGTCAGTCTCCGCCCTTTTCTCCCAATTTCTGACATCCCTACAGATCCCTAATGCACCGCTCATTTCTGTCCCCTCGCTCTCCGCCAGGCTTCCAAGATTTTGAAAAAAACAAAACAAAACAAAAAGATAAGGGGGGGTGAAAGCATCGGAAAGTTGGGTTGCGTGAAAGCAGCTTTTCCGAAACGACAGACGCAAAGCGTACACCTGTGCAACGTGAAGGTGGGCGCTCACGGAGCCAAAGGCCCGTGCATCCTACGCGTAATTGGGTTGGCGTGTGTATCAGTGCACAACGTGGAAAGGGAAAGAGCAAAGGCAGTTGTTCTTACAGTGAACGCGAACGTGGAGTCCCTTGAGTGTAGCGCCTGCGGCGTGCGGCTTAGTGAAGGAATGCAGGCTTGCCTTGATGCGAATGGTGAAGGGGACTCGCGAAGAGAGGTAAATGCCGCACTGTTGAGTCTCATACGCTCGCGATCGACTGATGCGCGGATGAGCTCGTTGACAGTAACGTGGCGATTCAGCAACGGGGGTCCCGGTGATCATCTTATCCTCCCGGATAGGTTGGGATGATGGACGGACGTGCGGCGGCATGCCGCCGCACGACGAGGATGATAAGAGTCATATTCGGAATATGAGAAATGAACGGTGAGATCCGGCGCCTAAAAAATGGGTGATGCCGCATTCTCGGAGGATGAATGGAATATGTGAGGTGAATGGTGCGGTGAATCGGTAATTATCACGGATGGGCGTGCGGCGCTAGTGACAGATGGTGTGATGGGAGCCGCAGTGTGTCATCGCCAAACTGAAGGATCCGCGGGGAATCCGACGCAAAAGCAGGGGCATTTCGGTGGTTGGGTTGCTTCAGCCCACCAAGTGTTGATGGGAACGCAATCACAGCCGCAGCTGGGGATGCTGTGGATTTCGCACCACTCCATTGAGGGCTTCAATATCGGGATAATGAGGTTTCGTGCACCAGCAGGACAACCTGGAAACAACTTTAACGAAATGAGAATTGCCTCACATTTGTGATGGAATGTGCAATAACGAGAGAAGTCGAAGGACACATGTGTTTTGCGAAACAGCACATCCCGAATGAAATTCGCGCACCCAGATCCAACTTCATGCCTCGTGCCCACCACCTCGATACCCTTTCACGCCTATCTCACTGTAAGAAGACGGAATTAGCCATGCGATGGGAGAAGCAGGGCTGACGTTTCACTTTAGGGCTCCCTGATTCCGGTAAAATTTTTTCCCTATGTATTATGAGTGCACATTGTTCAAGAGATTGCCACCCTGATGGCTAAGGGTTTAACAACTAGTCACGCTGATTTGTCAGGGTCGACACATGCCCCAAATTTCAAGGGTAAAATACCCTTTTTGCCCTGATGGTAGGCCGCTTTTTCCCAGTTACCCTTGCAAAAACAGGGTATCGATTTTTTTACCCTAGAGCAAACAGGCTAAGTTTTGATGTACACTGATAACGATTTCTGTTACCCTGCCGATATCAGGGTGCACTATATACTTCACTGATACCGAATCCTCTGTAGCGAGGGTTTTCCTTGCGAACCCGCAAAAAATTTTAAGCACCAGCCACATTTGAACTGGCGACATTCACAACCCATGCCTAACATCTGACTAGCTGAGACACATTATGTTAGGTTGTAGAACTAGAATGCTGTATTATCAGGTAAACACATTTTACCCTTTTAAGATCAGTGTACAAGTTTTTTTAGGCTGTTTTTGGCAGGGTACGAAATATTTTACCCTAACAGTCAGGGTATAGGGGGCCTGGAACCCTGATTTGAAAGAGTGGACCTAAACCTATTTTGGGCCCTGGGTCGACAGCCTCAATTCAGGGTCTGGGTTCAAATCTCACTTGGTTGATTACTGCAATGTGCACGCGTGCGGGCAGGGCAGGGCAGCCGCGCGTGCACGGCAACAGCGCGACGTAGGGCAGGCAGCCGCGCGTGCAGGGCAACAGCGCGGAGCAGGCAAGCGCACGGGGCAGGGCTCACGCGTGCGGGCAGGGCAGGGCCACCGCGCGTGCAGGGCAACAGCGCGGAGCAGGACAGGGCAGCCACGCGTGCAGGGCAATAGCGCGGAGCAGAGCAGGGCAGCTGCGCGTGCAGGGCAACAGCGCGGAGCAGAGCAGGGCAGCTGCGCGTGCAGGGCAACAGAGCGGAGCAGGGCAGGCAGCCGCGCGTGCAGGGCAACAGCGCGGAGCAGAGCAGGGCAGGCGCACGGGGCAGGGCTCACGCGTGCGGGCAGGGCAGGGCAGCCGCGCGTGCAGGGCAACAGCGCAGAGCAGGCAGGCGCACGGGGCAGGGCCCATGCGTGCGGGCAGGGCAGGGCAGCCGGGCGTGCAGGGCAACAGCGCGGAGCAGGACAGGGCAGCTGCGCGTGCAGGGCAACAGCGAGGAGCAGAGCAGGGCAGGCGCACGGGGCAGGGCTCACGCGTGCGGGCAGGGCAGGGCAGCCGCGCGTGCAGGGCAACAGCGCGGAGTAGGGCAGGCGCACGGGGCAGGGCTCACGAGTGCACTAGGAAAAAACGCGCAGGCAGTGCAGGGTGGCGCACGGCCAAGGAAGGGCGGCGCGTAGGGCAGGGCAGGGTAGCACAGCGACCAGCAGGGCGCCTCGCGGGCAGGGCAGGGCGGCGCGCGGGCAGGAACGGTGGCGCGCGGGCCCTAGGGCGACGCGACGGGCAGGGCAGGGCGTCGCGGGTCCTAGGGCGACGCGACGGGCAGGGCAGGGCGTCACGCGGGTCCTAGGGCGACGCGACGGGCAGGGCAGGGCGTCGCGCGGGTCCTAGGGCGATGCGGCGGGCAGGGCAGGGCGTCGCGCAGGTCCTAGGGCGACGCGACGGGCAGGGCAGGGCGTCGCGCGGGTCCTAGGGCGACGCGGCGGGCAGGGCAGGGCATCGCGCGGGTCCTAGGGCGACGCGACGGGCAGGGCAGAGCGTCGCGCGTCTAGCAGGGCAGCGCTACGGGCAGGGCAGGGCAGCACGCGACCAGCAGGGCGACGCGATGGGCAAGGCAGGCAGGCGCGCGGCCAGCAGGGCGGCGCGAAGGGCAGGGCAGGGCGACGCGGCAGCCAGCAGGGTGGCGCGCGGGCAGGGCAGGACGGCGCGGCAGCCAACAGGGCGGCGAGCGGGCAGGGCAGGGCAGCTCGACTGGTGGGGCAGCGCGACGGGCACGGTAGGGCGCTACAAACAGGGTAACGCACTACAGGCAGGGAACTATTCGGTGGGCCCTAAAAAAGAAAACGGTCTTGGAACAGGACCTGCTCTGAAACCATGTCAGAAACTAAACAAGAGAATGAATGAACTGGACAGGAACGTGGTACAAATATGGCAAACCCTAGTTGGGATGTACCCCTTGTAGGCTACCCCACTACAGCCTGCACAATACAAATATTATAACAGTTTGACAGACCTCAGTTCCCTTTGACGGCAAGGATTTCTACACGTGGAGCTTCGAATCTGAACCCGTCGCAACAACTGCTCTAATCTGGATGTACTATGGCGGAAGCTTACCATTTCCATCGGAAGGAACCATCCAGGAGAAGCATAAGTACTACCACGAATCTCTTATCGCGTACACCACTCTTCTCCGAAACCTTTCCCCCTCTGAGCAGCTTGGCATTCGCTCCTACAAGTCAGAGTGGGCTCCTGCGCACGCATCTTGGGAACACCTGCGCAACTCATTCATTGCAACAGATCCAGTGACAATGAGTCGCCTGCTCAGCCAACTGACTTCGGTTAAAATGCAACAAGTGGAGAAAGCTGGACCATATACCAACTGGTGCCGCAATCTGCGCGACCTCATCAAGAAGTGCGGCGGAACCGTCCCTGACGACATGTTCGTCTCGATGGTTCTCTCCGGCCTCGGACCCGACTGGCGTCAATGCCAATTGTTGCTTCGTGTTCGAG